CACACACACACACACACCCACGCACACACACACACACACACACCCACACACACACACACACACACACACACACACACACACACACACACACACACACACACACACACACACACACACACACACCCACACCCACACGCACGCACGCACGCACGCACTTTGGATTTCTTTTTTTTCTCCACGAGTCGGTGTCAGAATTGTATTCTGGTTACTTCTTAGATAATAATAATAATGTTATATACAAATACAATAATACAAATAATAAAAAATAATGATAATAACATTTCAAACACTTTAAGTCAAAAGTAGACTAATAGGAAAAGGTTATTATGAATCAATGAATACTTATAAAATTAAACAAATATTAAATAATATATATTAACACATTTTATTATTTATTATTTTATCTGCCTGATATATTTGGTATTTTTTTGGGAACACTTGGACCTCAATTAGAATTTAAAATAAAGCTTTATGTGGGATTGAACACTGTTTGGCTTCACACCATGGGTTTGTCATGTCATGTCATCAAGTTTATATATATTATGCTACATATTTCATGTCATCAATGCATAAAGGAACCCGCTATAGCTGAGTGTGGCCTGGTAGAATTGATTGCTGGTTGATTTCTGTAACAGGTCAGTGAAATCATTCAAATTGGCTTCTGCTATGAAAAAACATGCTAAATGTTCTAGATGTGGATTTAGTGGTTTTATTAGGTCGTAATAAGAAAGAAAAGGAAAATGTAAGACCACCAGCGAGGACATTTTTAAAACCTTGGACAATCAAATCAAATCAAATAGACCATTACATTATTTTCCAAGGTAGCTTTAAACCATTTTAACTGCTTGTTATTCAGTGTGCAAAAAGAGGACAGTGTTTTCTTTTCTTTTATTAAAATTATTTTCTTACTTTAAGTCCCCCTATTATAACTAGTTTATAACAGCTGTAATAATACACAATTTTAATATGTTTATAGTGGTTGACAAATAATGTACATTAATAAACACTTAAACACGACCATATCTGCTTACAATACGTCATAGAGTGGTAAACCATTCAGTAAATGTAAAGTGTTACCAAACTTCAACGTGATCTGAGTGAGTGTGGTTCTCTATTGTTGGTGTGCTCTTGCTATTCAGAGCGTTGTCCTTATCAGTGTTACCTTGAGCTGTTGGTATGAGATAGCATATTACAGAAAATATGACTCTCACATGGAGAGGGAATGTGCGGCAGTGTTATGTGAAAGGAATGCATTCATGGACCGATGTTACACAAGCACTCTGTGTTTAATAGTATGTGTCAGTCGTCTCTCTCTCTTACATCTTTGTCTGTCTCCATCTTATTTTACAGACAGTGGACTCGTCTAATGACTGAGATGAGAGATTCTTGGTTATTATGTGATATTGTTCATGTGTGTGTGTGTGTGTGTGTGTAACAGTCCCTCTTCAGGAGATGGCAGTGAATCTTTAGACACATTTCATGCACTGTGCTCAATGTTAAATGGGGCATTACAGCAGTTTTAAACAAGAGGACCAGTTTACTTGTCATGAGGTGCAGGTACTGTACAGTCTGCAAAAACAGTTTACTGTTTTCTGTTGCTCGGCCCAGCTTCGTTCTCTGGCTCATTCACATGATCGGAGGAAGGAAATAACTCTGGATTTGGCTATTAGTGTATTTTAGGACCTATTGATTTAATTAAGAGCTATTCATATGTTCGTACTGGAAAGTTGATTTACCAAAACACAATTAGTTACACTGAGTAACAAATGTCTCTCTCTCAATGTAAGTCTATGGGGGGGGGGGGGGGGCCCAATGACATCACATGAAGAACCTGGAAGTTTGAATTCCCCGGTTTGGTCGCTAAATTAGCTTCCAAGGTCTCTTCCTGGGGGTTTGGAAGTCTAATACTAAATAGCAAGAGTCCAGGAGTCAATAATCAGCACAAAAAGTATGAGCACAATTCTTCTTGTTTTTGGCGTAGACAAGGTTTGAATACATCTCCCTCTGGCAAAGGTGAGATTGTGTGAGCCCACCTGTAGGTGTTTTATCAAATGTTGCTGGAATAGGAAGAAATCATGTTTTTGTTGAGGGCTGTCTAGCCGTGGACTAATACACAAGTGGTGCTTATTTACTGCAGCAGGACGTTTGTGTGACATTCAAAATAAACTACAGTGCCCACATTCATCGCGTTGAAGGAACATGTCACCTGGTGCAACTGTGTGGCTCATTGATGTGTTTTTTTTAAACAATGGAGGTCTATAACATATGCATAAGATAGGATAATCTCACTGTTGGTCTTGGTCACAGGATTTGTTTCACCTGTTCTCTGACTTTTCAGCATGAAATAACAGAAACCGCGTTATTGTCGAGAAAGAAGCAGCAGCTCCGTCTGACTTCACTGTCTCCATCCTCTGCAGGGTTCACACACACTGACCTGGACCATGAGCAATGATTCGCCTGTTCTGACAAGTCTGACTGAGCACTCCACCGTGAGTACCGCTACGTCCGCCCCTCCCACTCTGTGTCCACTAACACTATAGTCTCCCACAATACTTTACAGATTGAACTGGACCTCAGCCAAAAGCAGCACACAAATAGGTACAGGCAGTGAGTTAACGCCACACTGTCCCAGTAACAGGTATTATATCCCAGCAGGACCTGTAATGGGGGAAAGCTTGATCTGCATCCAAAAGGGATTTTACTCAAAAACGGGGCATTATTTTGATGCCGGATTTGTGGAGGCCGGGGAGGATATCTGAGCCTGCGGAGGTGATTATCGGACAGTTAAAGCTGTCTGTGCGGAGGGAGAATGGACTGTAGCATCCCTCGAGAGTGTGTGTTAGAAGCATGGCCTAAAGACTGGCGGGAGGCTTCGCTGCTCAAGCTGATTGATCGTGTTGTTCTTCCTCTTTGGCTGAGCTTGTGAAAACAGCAGATTTAATTAAGCTACAGATGCTCTGACAAGCTCTCTCTGTGTGTGTGTCTATCAAGGTGTGCATGTTACCTACACACACGTATACGGCTTCAAACACATTATACTGTATCTCCCCATAGGCTTCAGCAGAATGTAGGCCACAATAGCATCTAATGAATGTGAAAATATACTGTGTGTGTGTGTGTGTTTGTATGACATGGGACTTAGTTAGACATGTTCAGGCCTGAGGTTGAATGAAAAGGGGGGAAAAAGGGTATTTTCATTTGCTCTAACGCACGTAATCGTCATCTGGTTGTATAAGAAGAAAGTCCCTCCTCCATGTTGCGACTTGCTTGCTGTTGGATTGAGCCTGCGGTTGAGGTTGACACAGATTGATTGATGCTTTATTTTACGGAAGCACCTTTACAGTGAATGGAGTCAACCCAACACAGTCTTTATCACGCACACAAACACGTTGTTTTTTTAATGCAACTCCATTAGTCGACTGACAGAAGATTAATTGTTTTCAATCAAAATGTCAAACATTCTCTGTTTGCTGTGTTGTTGTTGTTTTTTTATCTGATTGTTAGACAAAACAAGAAATTTGGAGAAAGCAAACTACAAATAAAAATATTTTTTTTCACAATTGTCTGACATTTTATACAAAACGTTTGATTGAGAAAGTAATGGGCAGATTACAATACAATGAAAATTAAAATCATTAGTTGCAGCCCTTTAGTGTCTGTACATCTAGTCAGCAGCAGACTTTGGGTTTGAGCTGTACTTTAAACTTCCAGTGATTAAATAGTCCTTAATCCTGCTTTTAACTCCTTCCATGCTGTAAAATAATCTAGTTTAAAGTGTCTGTCGCAAAAACTTTAAAAACACTTTCACCTAAAACAGTGCAGGTTTGAGGAATGACGTATACGTTATTTGTGGTGAAGGTTGAAGCTACTGAGAGTTTTAGGAGTCAGTAGAGAACATAGATAAGGAGGCAATTTGTGTAATTTGGCTTTATAATAAAAAATGTACGAATGTTTCATTCTACAGTTGTATAAGGAGCACAAACCAACTTTCAAATGACCGTTAATGACCTTGATGCTGCTCTAGCTAAGGCCATCATCATCTTCTGAAGGTCTTCCTGTGCTCAGTGAGGAGCTTCTCACACGTCTCAGTTTTCTTTAAATCTGTGCACGATGACAACCTTTAACATTTTTCATATATTATGTAATGCTAAATGTTGCAATAGATGAATATTCCCTTTGTGACGGTGAGAAGAGCCCAATTATTTTCTCTCTCTGGTGAAACTGACATCGGAAGAAGAGCCAGGAAAGTCTGGTGTGGGGATTGCTCATGTGCGTCTGCAACCTCCTCCGATTTCCATTTTTAGCCTGCGGAGGCCTCAATTCCCCCTCATTGAGAAGAGCTGGGAGATTGAATTAAGGGTCTCGCTGACGTTTCGATTAGCATCCCCAAGCTCACTCAGCCAAGACTGAGAGTATTAATCAGAGGGACTAAAGCAGTATTGTGTGTGTGTATGTGTGGATAACAATCACTGTGAGGAGGCAGGGACTCAAGAAATAGTTCATAGTTAATAGTTAATTCTCTCCTTATTAAATATTACGAGGATTTGCTGGCAGCGTAATGCGACAAAGAGATTCCTCATTGCTGTGAAGCTCAAAGGGAGAAGAATCAATTACTGCCCCAGTAGGACCAACGCAGCCAGCGAGCTCACAACAGCGAAATATGACAACAGAGATATGTCTTTGTGCTTTGAAGGAGTGAGTTACGAGCTCCAGCAATGACATGTGAATACAGCATGGGAATTAAAGTGAACCGGTGACAATACAGAGGGTACCAGGGTTTGGCTGATACTGGTTTTGAAAGCCGATATGTTTAATGCCACATTATATTTTCTGTCAATATCTGATTTGTATACAGCAAGAAAAGGTTGAGATCTATTTTTTACTTTTAAGGAAAATTCAAAATATCCAAAATTCCAATTTCAGGACATTATGTTTTTCAGGATGTGCCTGTGGCGGCAGGCCAGGTGGAGAACTATGTGCTGCTGTTGGTGCTGCTGAGTGTTTTTGCCGGGGGGACGCTGGTCCTGCTCTCCCTGCTGCTCCTCTTCTGTCACCGCTGCTGCTTGGGTGGACGACGCTACTCCAGGTGGGTGCGCCCGGCTAGGTGACACACTGTGTGGGACCTTTGCAGGCCTGGTTTTACACGCAGGGATTACAGGAGGCAACGTGATTGTAAGAGCAGTGGGTTAAAGCCGTGTTGAATCTGACGTTGAAAGTTGTGACGTGACCAGACACTTGCAAAGAGTAACAATCTTTTCCTCCTGTCAGAGCGAGTGATGACCCAGAGAAGACAAACACCACTTATGCTGAGGATTCTCAGCCCACCCAAGGTCAGAGCTGTGTATTTTCTTCGGTTCATACATACATCTCTTCTGGTCCGCTGTCGTCACTCACGTCGTTTCATTCCCTCGCTTCGTCCTTGTTCTCTTTGTCGTTCAGAGATCACCATTCATCTGGATGAATCAGACGCTCTCTCAGCTGCCAGCTGTCACGATGGAGAGTCGGAGCGATTTGTCTCCACTGGGTCTACCGGCCGCAGAGTCTCATTTAATGAATCTGCACTTTATGAACAGGAGAAGACGACCCAGGACAAAGGACGCAGGTACAGTTAAACAGGTGATTTTACATTATAATTTGGACGAGCTGTCGGTGGAATCAGATTAAATGATTCGTCCTCTCTCTCAGGTACACTCTGACTGAGGGAGACTTCCACCACCTGAAAAAGGCCCGGCTGACCCACCTTCACCTGGCTCCGGCCCCGTGTGACCTGAAGATCCTCACCATCATGGAGTGTGACTCAACAGAGAGCAGCACCGTCAACATCAATGAGACCGCAGCTCCCAAACTGCCCCTCGCTATCTACCAGGTAACTTTTCACTGACTGTGATTTATCTCACTAATGTCACCAAATCCGGTTTGTTTCCTCATTGTTGTTGTCTCCCTGCGTTGATTTCTCTTTCCAGCCCACTGAGAGAAGAGTCCCTGACTGGGTGGGACTCAGCCTCAGCGGAGGTCTGCCTGGAGACCCGCACCACTCCACCATACTGGACCAGGGCCCCAGACAGGCTTCATCCGCCATGAAAGCACAGCAGTCATGGTCCCAGACAGTAAGTTGAACCTTTTTCCACTTTGTGACAGCTATAAAATGGTCATTGCATATTACAGGTCAATTCAGGACTTTCAGGAATGTCTGTAAGAAAAATTCCAATCACAGCTTTTTTTGTGCATGTTTTAAGTTCCTGCTTGAAACATTTTTGTTTAGATGAAAAGAACACATTTCCTCAAAATCTGCAAACCACTAAATGTTTATTTTTACAGTAAAGTTGTGATCCAGAAATGCATTTGCACAGATAGATTCCTCAGTGAGTGTCACACATAAACAGAGCTGTGAAAAGCAGCTGCCACCGGCTCAAAGCCAGTGATGCACTGTGACATCAGTCATCACTGCAGCTGAGTGACAATATGACAAACTGCTTTGCTTCTGCCCGTCGTGATTCATCTCAGCTGGTCTGCCTCAACCCTCCTTAATGTCTCATCACCTCCCTCCGTCCTCCTCTCCCTTCATCTCTCCTGTCAGATGGAGGCTATCGGGGACAGGGGAGAGGCTGAGAGCGAAAGGGGGATGAGAGGAGAGTCGACTCAAGCTCCGGGACAGACTTCAGTTCTACATTTCTTCTCTAAACTGCGGCGTCATGCCAGTCTGGAGGGGGCAGGGCCTTACTTCAGGAAGTGGAAGTTTGACAGCAGTCATCGGGCTGCCAGCCTGGATGCCAAAGGTTTGGATAAATGTCATAAATAGATGATAAGCTTAGATTAGTGAATGATGTAAAAAGGCAAAAAAATATATATAGTAAAGGTGAAAAACATCAAGTAGACATTCTTTCTTTTCATGTGTATTTCTACTAGGATCCCCCAAGAGGAGGCCCTTCCAGAGACAGAGAGCAGCAAGTGAAACCACTGATCACACCGACGACGACTCTTTGTCCCTCGGAGATGAGGTCATTGAGTCGTTCCCACAGTCCCCTGTCCTGACCAGTGGCCTCCAGTCCCTCTCTGCAGAGTCTCTTTCTCCACCAGAAACTGTACTCACGTCATCAATCTTCCTCAGCAGGTACATCCCTTTCCATAACCCCATGACTTGGACCATGACATTCCCAGAAAGAATGATTAACTGTTTTCCATCTCTGCAGGTTAAAACCAGAGGCCATGGTGGAGTTAGGTAGCAGCGGCCCCAGAGGAGAGGATCTCTGTTCACCAACAAATGATTGTCACGCCCAGAGGCAGGAGGAGGCAACAGCCAATGGGACAGGAGTAGAAACAGAAACAAAGTTCGGTGCAGGTACAAGAACAGAAGCAGTGGGAGTCGAGCTAGAGTCGGTAGAAGATGACGACTTTTTTGCGGTACGACAAGGAACTGCTGTACAGGAAAGGTTCGAAGACATGTTAAATACACCTAAAGACACACAGACATCGGACGTGAGGAAAACGAGTGAGGCAGATGAAGGAGATGAGCTGGTGTTGGGAGCTGAGGCCAGGTTAAGGGCCGGCTCAGGCTCATCCCTTTCCTTCATGATTCGCCAGGAGAGCTCGGAGGCTCCTCCCTCCCTGTACAGAGACATTTGGAGCTTGCGAGCCTCTCTCGAGCAATACGCCTCCTCAGACCAGAGCAGCACAGATCGGGAGTCCATCCGCAGTGATGCCGACAGCGTCTCATCCCATGGTGGTGCAGGAGCTCGCTCTGGCCTGGACAGCTGCTTGTCCCAAGACCTGGACGATGAGCCTGAAGGAGAAGGCGAGGGAGAGATGTTGGAGGGAGGATTCAGAGGGGCGTCAGGTGGGAATAATGAGGTGGGAAGTGGAGCTGGGGGAGAGGGTGAGGCAGGGAATCGTAAACTCCTCCAGATGGACAGCGGCTACACCTCCATTGAAGCACCATCCAGGGCACCAGAAGAAATGCGGCTTTTTGGGACTCCTGGAGCTCCGAGAGGGAAGACGGCATCTGAGAGAAGGTTGTTCTTCACCAGCTCTGGGAGAAAAGGTTCAGTGTGCGAGAGCGTCGAGGCCAGGCAGTTTCAGGAGGAGCTGGAGGATGAGATGGACGGCACAGAGGAGAAACTAAAGGAGAGATCTCAAACTGGCAGCCAGTCTCTTACCCTTCAAGAACCACATCAGCTTCTGAAATCCCTTCAACCTCCAGAATCACAATCACAGTTGATGTCTCCTCTGATTAAGCCAATCCCACAGTCCTCTACTCCCCACAAACCCCATCTCCACCGCCGCGACTACAGCATCGACGAGAAGACAGACGCTCTCTTCAACGAGTTCCTCCGTCACGATCCACGCTTTGACCAGCAGGATTCGCCGCTGCGCTCCAGGCACCGATCCAGAGTTCACCTCCGAAAACAGTGGCAGCGACACAAGCAATACAGCGACCCAGGTTCAGGTGCTGGGGGTAGGTACTCCCCATCTTTGGAGAGGCAGAGGTTCACGCCGCTGAGGAGAGGCGACAGCGCCGGTTACCCTCTGGACACCAGGTATCACAGCACACTCTCGCGCATTGCGAGTGCTGCTGACGAGGAAGCCAGCGAGGTTGCGGCCTGTGAGGTTGCGGCCTGTGAGGAAGCCGCCAAAGAGAGCACAGATGACAAAGATGAAGGAGGTGCCGAGGAAGCCTCAGAAAGTACAGCCGACACAACCTCCGAAGGCACCGACGCAACAAAGAGTTGCACAGAGTCGACTGGTGATGGCTGCCAGGTCTCTACAAAAAAGGGCAAGGGAAGCACAACTAGCCGGTCTTTGACCACTACACAGATGAGCAACATGGATCCGAGAATCAACAACAGAAACAACAACAGCAGTCAAGCTATTCTATCCGAGAGCAGCCTGACAGACAAGCTGGTCGTGTCGGTTGAAGAGAGGCTCTACAGCAGCCTGCGCAGTGCAGAGAAGCTTGGCCACGGAGGAACGGAGCGTGTGCTCACCGTGTCACACACAGCCTCACCCGGCTTCAGTCCCATATAACCGGTTAACAATCTCATCTTCTTCATCGACTTTATTTCACATCCATTATCTATAGACGACAGACTTGAACAAAAGGGTCTTTAGCACTTCAAGCATCATCATGTAGATGCTTGGCCATTTGTGTCCGTTATATTTGGGTAAATAGCTGACGCATCAAAACACATATGTCCTAAAGGACAGAAGAGCAGTCTCTTCCAGCATTTCCATTCAGACCTTGATTTCCACTGTGACGCAATGTGACACGTGATGCTCCCTTTTTATTGATAACCATTCTCAAAATCAAATGCATTTGTTACATAGCTTTGAAAATATAGACCCATCTTTAGAAAAATGTAATATTTTCAGACTTAACTGTGAATTTTCAGCATGCTACTGTATGTCCAAACAACGTGTGTGTGAATACTGTACAGTTTTGACTTTAAAACAAAAAGCACTTTGATGGGAAGAAAGATAACGATGGAGTGTCCGTCACCCATTTCTCTCATTTCAAAACCATATCCTCAAGTGTCCTTCTCGTCTCGATCACCACGAGGGTAAATGTCTCCGTGAAAGCTTGAGGTTTATGTATTTGGCGATAAGAACAGTGATCATGTAAAAAAACATAACTTAAGTGCTCGCAACCCTGTCATTTACACCATATCAGCAGATCTGTAAAAACAGATGGGATACCCAAACTACACAGCCAACACAGCATTCTGAATAACATGCATCAAGAATTTTTTATACTCATATTTCATATATTTTTATAGGATTTTTGTTAACCATTTGTCCCCGTTATTCATCATAATTAAGGAGGCGGTATCAGGGTTTGAGCGAAGTGTTGCATCAGTGCCGGGAGATGATACGTAAAGTGACTGACATAGGAGCCTCTCAGGCTTTCAGACAGATGGTCCAGTGACAAAGAGTTGAGGCTGTGAAAGGAGAGGTTGAAACTGAATAGCAGTGGAATAAACTCACTCCGTATTACTAAATAAAAGATACGTCTGGTGATATTCTATATTTTTCTTGTCAACAAATCCCACAAAAAGACCAAAACCAACAATGAATTCATGATACGATCAGGAATTACCTGTATAGTCAAAGCCTGATTTAGTTTATAGCTCTCCATTGTTGTCCATAAACTATTAAAAAACTGAAACGGTGAGCCTCGTCGCAGGAGCAGGTGACATTCAATCATTGCTACAAATAGGCACATTCATTCATTTATTTTGAGTGAAGCCCACTCATAAAAACTGCGCCGTTAACCCACGGCTGAAAATAGTGCCCGAAAAATGCAGCGGCCAGCAGTTTTAGTAAATGATTTACCATTTCTTAGGAATTATCTAAAGTTGAAAAACAATGGGCTTGGAGCCGAGAACCACATAGGGGCTGGGGAAGTCAGAAAGTATTAAGAGACAAACTGACACCTTCTTGGTTTTGTTTATTTGTTGGCATTGGAAAAAATAAAAAATAAATAAATATTTGCAGCCCAATACTTAAAGTGATACTTTGCAGATATCCTCCGTGTTTACAGGTTAAAATCACAGGACTCCACTGTGTGTGCCAGTATGGTTGTAACATTATTTGTTAAGCATTCATGTCAAACTGTATTTCTTCAAACATGAGAACAATTGCTGCACGTTATGCGTGATGTCACCTGGGAAACTGCGATGGCAGGTAGCGCGTGTCCCTTTTCCTTTCACAGACGTGGGTTGGATCTAGAATACCTGTATATTATAAAACTCATGTCTTTGTCCTCAATCATAGTGGACCATCTGTTTTATTGTAAATGAGTAGTGCAGAAAATTAAAATGTCTCGCAGCCTTGACAAATGCTAGACCGTGTGGGACCAACTGAGGCCCTTATTCATTTTGGACCGAAACATTTTTTTGTGAATAAAAACATGAACAAAACCGGACTATATACGCAACCTGTGGTTTTATGCTGTTGTAACATATTTCATGTAAGCTGATGTACTGTGTGAAACAGAAGGTGTCCTGACACACTAATCATACCGCTGGAATATTAGTCAGCCTGTAAACGCGAGACATCTCTTCATCCTTCCTCGTGTGTTTCGTTGAACAGAGAATCTCTGCGTCGACCTTGCTGACGTGGGAAGCGCTGCCCTCTCCCTCCCTCAGTGTAATGACTCACCTGCTCTCTGATCTATTCCCAGCGAGGGGCTGACGATGGGCCTCGGCTGCGTAAGAGTGGGGCGGGGCTCCCCCGCTGATGTGATCAACACAATAAAGAGCAGCATCGCTGAAAAACAGGTGATTGTGACGGCACACCGCCTGCAGGCGCATCGGCCTGATACTCTAGGATCTGACTACAAACTAGCTGCAGACATCAGAGTAAGACGAGAGTAGCATTCCCGTCAAATAATAACCTTGTTAAGGGCAGGTAAAAAAATAATAAAAACAGGACAAAGGATCATCCAACAAAATAGCCTGTTTGGGACATATTTTATATAAATAATAATTAAAAAATATTCATTGGAAAAAAGAAAAAAAAGAAAGGAACCTAAATGGAAACAGGTCAGCGGTGGATCTCAAAGCTTCAGTCTTCAGCACTTTCCCTTTTCCCAGCTCTGTACAGCATGCAGTTTGTGGTAGTAGAGTACTATTATAATTATTCTCATTATAGATTTAAATATAGAATTATTCATAACTTTTGAATCTTTGTTTACCTCTTTTAATTTTTTACACTTCACAATGCGTCTTAAAAACTGCCATTAGGGTTCTGTAAAAACAAAAGTAGTAATAGAAACAGGTGTGTGGGGGGGGGGGTTTGGATGGGTGGGGTACAGGGGTGATGGTGTTTGTAACGTCCGGTGCAACACTTGACCCTCCTAAGAGGGTGACAGGGTGGAGAGGGGAAATTGACTAGATGACAGAAGTGGATGACAAGATTTGAAAGGAGCCAAAATATGGGAGAAAAAAAAACCAAAAAAAACTCAAAACATCTTCACAGCCAGTGCCTCAGTCTCAGAGCAAAAGGAACATTTCATGCTGTCCTCCTCCTCCCCGTCGCTCATACCGCATCTTCTAAAGACTCTGCAGGCCAGTGGTCCAAGGAGGTATGGGGGCATTAACGTCAGCAGGTGTCTCTCACAACCGTGAGGACTCCGGACACAGAAGGACGGGGACAGACCAACCTGAGAGACAGAGGACAGAATATAACAAGACGTCCGGTGTGGTTGTATTTTAAGTTGATCTCATTTGTTAACGTAGCACATATACTTTGTTAACATGGACAGACTCGTCCACTGGGTGAGAAAGAGATACAAACATCCGACAGCCCACTTTCTCTCTCATCCAGGGTGAGTCATCGCCTGAACAAATGAACACAGCCTCTCCTCTGCACTGAGCTCATGACAAACAGCCTCACACTGTGACTGGTTTGTATGCGCTACAGACTGAATGAGCAAGCTGTGGGTGGTAACTGGAAAGAGAGGAGCTCAACCTATTAATTTGGTGTGTACGCTTGCAGCACAAATTGGTCCCACTTCTCCTGAATGAGGGCCACTGACGAACCCCTGGAAGGTTATCGTCTAGATTAATCCTGGCGGAGAATAGAAAAATGACACCCCAAAACTGGACAAGTCCAGATCTAGTTTTCGTGACTGTATAGGAAACCTCCTGGGGAGAGGCGGTGAGTCAGAGGCACTGCTCTCTGAATATCAACACACACTCTCTCTCTCCTCCCTGATTCCCTCTTCCACCGATACTCATCTCTATGTCTCCGTCTCTTCTTATCTCATCCCTCCCATCTTTTCATCTGTGCTCCGTAGGTGTTTATCTCAATCTTTCTCCTCTGTCTACTGTATGGAAGGCGTCCTCTGAACACAATTCAGAGTCTACACACTCACCAGGCGGGTTGTTGCTGAGGAAAGAGGGAGGGGGTGTCATTGCTGTTTGCAGGTGGAGAGCTTGCGGATCTTGCTGGCTGTGGAGACTCCTTTACGTGAGGGGTTGGATGAAGAGGAGGATCGGCGTTCGGCTTTGGCCTTGCTATTCAGAGACCCCCCGTCTGTCCCGTTCACACAAACTGGCTTGGCTAGAGCCGGACTGTAGTCTTCGTTGTGCCCCTGATCCAGATCTTCTTCGGCCACTTGTCCTAAAAAAGTACACGCACAGCAGGCTCAGAACAAATCCATCACAGTTTCAAACAAAGTGCCGTCTCGACCGCCGCATCATTCGGCAAGCGTGACGTAATAGCACGAGTGTGGAAAACTGAGTGATCACATGGATGGAAATTACAACAGAGCTGCTGCTGTAAAAGCTGTTAACAAATTTTGTTTAAGTGGGACCTTTAAAAAGCTCATTTGTCAGCAGCACTAGCAAAATGTCAGGTCACCGACAACAACAGGAAATCAGCCGAGTGAAAAATAGGCCCTAACCTCAATGTGATCTTTCAATTTCATGTGCAGAGGTGTGCCTGTGTCTGGGTGGAGATACGAGTGCAATTTAAATCTCTGACCTGCAGATTTAGATTTTCACCGATACATGGCCGATCGATCGGTGCATCTTAATGTATGTGTGTGTGTAGCCAGGCCCGTGAGAAACTCTTAAATAATTTCCCACACTGTGAGAAGTGCAACACAGAGGAGAATAATAAAAGCTTAAGAGAAACATTCGGTCTTCCTGTTTAATTTACCGTCAACTCTTTTATTTCATTCATCTGAGCGCGTGTGGGACTGAACCTTGAGAAACCATTCATACTCCCACACCAAAACCATTTCAACTGCACTATTTTTAGATCACTTCATTCACAATGTGCAGCTCTGCTTGTGTTTTCATGTGGAGCACCACCTCCAGGTCCCCGACACGACTACTGCAGTTATTATTACGACTGTTGCCTGGCAACGGATAAAGGCTCTGAATTCTGGGATAAAAAAAGATAAAAGAAGAGCAGCGAAACAAATTAAATCCAATATGAAAGATGCCGTCATCATCTATTCACCCCAAAGTCAGTAAACACCGAGAACGTTTGTACACACAGTTCACTAAAGGAAACATCATTTATTGACATAAAATGTATCTTTTTCCAGACAGGACTCTGGACCTGCGCCCACAGCTAAGCCTTGTTTACTCATTCCTAGCTGGTAAACCGTCAACCAATCAGAGCTCAGTAGGTGGGTTAAAGCTCTTCCTACATACGTGAAGCTGGCTATCGACCTACATTCATGAGAAATACAGAAAGAAAAACTACAACTAGCATGGATGAGATCGACGCAGCTGTGGATCTATTGATAAATATTGATCACGAACTTTTGTTTTTGTCTCGGTTGTTCTGTGTTTTAAGTTTGCCGACATATTTATGCTTTACTGTGCTGTACTACAAATTGCACCTTTGAGGACATTTAAGCTACTAGTCCACGTACAATAATAATAAATACAAAAACAACATAATTCTATAATTAGATCTTTGATCCATGTGGAAAATGTTAAGTTGGCTGATCCTGGCAGCTGCCAGTGTCAACTGAAAAAAAGATAATGTCGGGATCAGGATGTCAGAAAACAGGAAAACTTCAAATAGAAAACTGCCAAATGTGACCAAAATGTCAGAATTAATGAAGTGAAATCAAACGATAATTCATTTTTATCATCAGGTGACAGAATGAGGGGAATTTCTGGTAAGCCCTAGTTTACCTGATTGCGTTTTTAGTGATAAGTGATGTAATAGGCAGCCTTATACAAGGTCGTGTTGAATTATGTTGGACATTTTAAAAGACATATTTAAGGGTCAGTTTATGTCCGTCATGCCTGGAACTCTGATTACACAAAACCAAACGGTTCAAGTTTTTTTTCAACCACTAAAACAAAAGAGCATGAGCAGTAACGGAGGAAAGACTCCTGAAATGACAGTAAAAACAGAGTAAGCGTGGCGTTAATATAACCTGAACAATTCCTGTTACAGTGAAGCGCATCAATAATGTTTTTATTGGCTTTAGGTCACAAGCGACAGTTTAATGTTAGAAGTTGATGAAAGTCTTAACTTTTAACACATTTTTGACATGAGGAAGTGGTTCGGTGTAAGTGTAACATAACGCATTTCTAAGAAGAAAGATTCAGTGTGGTCATACAAAGGAGGAAGTAGCTGACAATGAGAAAGCAGATGTTTTACAATCTTCTCCAAGTCAAAACAGAGAGAATAGAGGACTAACCAAGACAACACAAAAGACATTCACTAACCACGGATGCTTTCACAACGCAAAAAAACCAACATATATTTAAATCAAGAAGTAAAAGCACATAATGATTCATAATAATAAGAATAGTCTGAGCTCACACTTACCTGGCACTGTGAAGTCCTGAGTGTATATGATCTCATCCTCTCCATCGTACAGCTCGTCGTCGTCCTCTTCGGTGTAGCCGTGGAGATCCTCCAGGTAGGGCACCACCGTCATACTCCGCCAAGGATCCCTGCTCTCTGCGTTGGCAGGGATGGGCACAGGGGGCTCAGACGGAGGGTGTTTCTTACGCACCCAGCTAGGAGGGACAGGCAGGGAGGAGATGGACGTGTAAATGACAGATCTGACTTCAACTACGCTTTCTAAACACTTCTCACACTGCTTTTTAATCTGCACTTTATTATTTTTTACATGGGATACACGATAAATGCAGAATACTTTTATCACTCACTTGTGTTGCCTTATGTTCTGTATGGAAAACCTCTTCGCAGGGTCATACTCAAGCATTCCTGGAAAACAAACATTCGAAAAGGTGAATTGAATCACAACAATCCTGAACAATTTCTCCTCTTTACCGTTCTGTTAAGTGTTTTAACATAAAACTGGTGGGAGGCCACCGCACTGAGCGAGCGAGCAGACGGAAAACTCAATCAAGGGAAATTAATTAATGCACACAATCGTCTCATTCATCACCGTGTGTCGAGGCATCCTGCAGAGCTTAAGGAGTCAATGAGGTACAGTAAGGAAACATCAACAAGAGGAGCATTACAGCTGTACCCATGTAATGAAGAGTTTGTCCCTTAATTATCATAATGTGGGCTGAATCTGTGGGAGCAGCAGAACGTCGGTGTGATAAGGCAGCAGTGATGCGGTGCCCATCCAGACCTAATAATGTGATTGCCTGCCAGCAGGCAGCGAAGGGGGCAGCGTGCACAGTGCTGATAGTAGTGCTGCGCCTGCTGAAGGACACCTTTTGTGGCACTGGGCTTATTTTAGACCGTGTAATTATGGACCGACTATCTCCCAGGCGCTGCGTCATCACACACACACACACAGACGTCACGCGCTCACACAAAATGGGGGACGCAGGTGCTCTGAGTTATAACGGCACCAGAATGTGGCCGCTCTTATTTTTTCCTGTTCACGGTTAAGAGACTGTTCAACTACAGTAAAACAACAAGATTAGATGGATCAAAGCTGGAACACAGTCACTGTGCGTCACTGTTTCATAAGTTGGTGCAAACATAATCTTCCCAACATTCTTCATGGATTTACATCCATTCAGCCGATTGTAAATTTCACTACTTGACTCTTTTTCTGTTTGTTTGTACAAGGGGCAGAAGCGTTGCAGCATTCCAATCGGGAAAAGCAACGCCTGACTATGAAATGTTTAGTATTCCGCTGCTGGCTCCACATCAATGGAAACTACGTCAACAGCTGGAGGCTTTTCTACAGTTTGGAGGAAGCCTTGCATGCTGAGAAATCATGGTGACTTTCAGAGTCACAGCACCACCTACTGGACAAACCGGACCGATTCCATTTCAAAGCTTTTACTTCCAGTCGACACTTTCTTCTGCAATGCTACACAAACATACTTGGAGCAAAGCACTTCCACTACTATGTTGATATAAATGCATGGTGTTGCCTGAGGATGCATGACAAGAGTCATCGACTGCAGTGACAAGAAATACTGCACTGGATGGATTAATCCTTTCACCTTGAAGACAAAGTATGATTTGGCCTCATGGGTAAAAACATCATCTCTTTAAAACACTCACCTTGCAGCAGGTCTGACAGGAGGGGTCCACAGTCCTCGGGAATAGTGAAGTCTCCTTTTCCAATGTTCTCAAATAGCTTATAGATGTTGTCTCCCTCAAACGGATACAGACTGGTTGTGATGTTGTATCTGAAGGAGAAGGAGTCAGAAAATACGTTTCATAAACTGACACTGTTAAGAGTCGTCACCAGCGTTTGTATTTTGGCAGCTATTTCAAATTTTGTCTCTCTCTTTCGACAAAAATCCTATTTAGTTTTAGTCACGTTATAGTCATTTCTATCTTTCATAGTTTTAGTCATAGACAACTGAAAATGTTTTAGATGACAAAAAGTAATTTTAGTCATTACTTTTCAAAAGGTTCTCTCTCTAAATGTCGTTAGCCTTCGTCGTAGTCCTGGGTCAACTGTCATCAGATTATATTGAACATCTCATTCTACCTATTCTAGCCAAATCCAATAATTTTGCTGTTTTAGTAAAAACTTTTATCTCATCAAAAAAAGGTCATTGACGAACATATTACGTCATAGTTTCGAACTTTCTGGAGTTATTTTTGACTGTTCTTTAAAGTCTAACAGAACCACACTGAAGCACATTGTAATCACAGCGTTATCTTTCCTATGAGATGTCCGTATACTCCTTACTCCTCATCCTCTCTGTAGCTTGTAGGCAGTGTGCCTATTCAATCCCTAAATCCTACACTCTGCAGGAGCATTTTTCCATGACCGTTGTCGGGTATTAAGACAACTTAGCAGATCTTCTGTCTATAATTGATGAAATTGAAGGCATTCTTTGAGGACTCGAGCAGCCTGAGGCTCTGACTACTCACAGTGTTACTCCGGCAGACCAAATGTCCACTTTAAACCCTGAAAAGGTGTCCAGTCCATTTGCAATCTCTGGAGGCTGAAAGGCCGGTGAGCCCTGACTGGTGCGACACGTGTCATCCTCCGCAAATGGGTGAAGGGCCTGAAAAATATAGAGTGAAGTGTTTAAATAGGAATTATGAAATAACTGAATAACTTGTTGCCATTTCCTTCGTAAGCAACACTATCCGCAGTAAAACCAGTAGTGATAACATTTTGAGTTAGAGGATGACGATTATGTTGACGAATCGCCCCGTCCCTACAATCAACAGTACTTTTGTTTTTGTTTTTGTGTTTATGTTTATAGGAGCTGGCAGCATCATTACCGATTAGCTAGAATATGTGGAAATTAAAAAGATGTGGACTTAGAAGATGCTTGATCTGGTCGTTGTGGTGAAAAACAACAATCCTTCCGCCTGGATGGTAAACAACACAATGCTGCAGCACAAAGCTCACCTCTGCTACTCCCAGGTCGGAGATTTTAAGCGCTCCGTCTGTGGTCAGCAGCAGATTTCCTGGTTTAATGTCTTTGTGAACTATTCCCTGGCTGTGCAAATATTCGAGGCCATCTAAGAGCTGGCAAAAGTACCTGGAGGAAAAAAAAGAAACAGAGGGTGTTGACAGATTCAATTTACAGACTGGATGCGTTTCATACTGCAAGTTGAAAACAATTGGCATATCAAACAATTTATCACTGTCATCACATGAACCTTCATCACTTCGTACTTTGGTGTCAGTGGCTTTCCAGCAGTGACCACACATTCACACAATCCACGGTCAGTTATTTTAACAGCAGAGGCCCTGCAGTCTAAACTTAGGCCCGGAGCAATGGCTGCAGAGAGGCTTGTTCTAAATATAGCAGAGAGGCTAAGAGAAAAGGGAGCAGAAAAGGGGGAGAGAAAAATAGATTCTTACCCGTGAGCTTGAGACACTGGAAACCTTTTTTCTGGCACGCTGTCCAGCATTTCTTGCATCCCACAAACGCAATACTCCATCACCATATACGTGAGTCAGGAGTCAAGGGGATTTACCAGAGCAAACAAACACATCCTTTAATATAATGAGCCCATTATAAAGACAATAGGTAACAAATGGAAATATTTAGGCATAGAAATAACCCTCAGGAACAGCAACATTAAAATCTAACATCTAAAATCAACTCATTCACAACGTAAGGATATATTTTCTGCTTCTCTTCATTGTAGAGCACATCCACCAACTGAATCACATTCTTGTGTTGGAGTCTTCTTAGCAGCTGAATCTCCCTGTAAACATACAAAAAAAAAAGATCAATCAGGCAACGTACAGGAAGTGTTGTATAATCTAATACTGCCGCTTGTCTGCTGAGAACGTAGGATAAACGCCAGGTGCCATACATCAGCACAACCACATTCATTGGGGATGCACTTTGGGTATCGGACGATACCGAAGCATACCGAGCAGCTATATACTGCATATTGAGCCGGGACGAGAATTGATGGCAACTCAGATCATTTCACAACGCAGTATTTGCTGTTTTGAAATTCAAATAAATTGCGATTTACTAACGAGAAACTAAATTTGTACATCCAGTCAAATGAAACCGAAGACACTCCTAGAGGGTGATTCATTGGAAACACAATTGCAGGAATGATCCTGCAAGACTTGATATTGTCGGTGTGTAGCAGCAGTCGATTACAGAGGTGTCATGAAGACAGATAACACGAGGAGACGAGGTTTAAATCACCAGCATGGCAACACACCCGGGAGACTCAACATTCATCCCAGAGCTGCGAGAAGGGACGCTAATGAATCTGGAAGTGGAAGATTGCAAAGAACAAACCACAGACTTACGAGCCACATCCACACACAGAGGAGAGAGCTCTGCCTGACAATTAGGGACAGGAATCTGGTGATTAGATTTAGATTCAATCTGTCTCACTGGTACTTTGTTCAGATTACCGCAAATGAATGACAGTCATGTGTTTTAATTAGCAGCAGTGAATATTGAATAAAAACTAGATGCTGTTCTCTGTACACGTTTGTCGTGTCAAGTTCCTTCTTCATTGGGGAGACGATAAAATCCTAAATGTTTGCAGTTACTGAAGGTTGTTTTTAAGATAAGTTTTTAGAGTCTCCAACGTGAGGAAGCTGGAGGTCGCCCCATGTAGTCTTTGTCTGACATCACGGCGGTCTTTGTCTGACATCACGATGGCCCCATGTGCTCGAGGCAGAGTTCTGTCTTTACCGTTTCATCATCACTGCGTAGTGTGGACAAACCGTTATGTAACCAATGTCAAAGACATCAACGGTCACTGAAAAAAATGAAAGAGAATACATTTTTGGTCTTTGTGAATATATTTAAAATTGTAGAAGATAAAATGATTCTCATGTAAAGAGATTCTCCCCATCCCTCCTGGAAAGATGCGAGTCAAAGCCACGAAGGGAGAGCGCCTGTACCAAAACTAAATAAAGCACCAACAGTGCTGAAGTATTTTCTGTTCATCTTTTTTTTTTTACTTCTTCACAATCTCACAAACTGTTCTGTCCTTTATCACCCTGCAGTTTGTGAGCCGAGTCAGTCCTCTGCCTTTTACTCAAACGTACTACTGACAAATGGATATTCTGGGCATAGTCGGCCTCTTGCTTGCGCACAGACGCACACAAGCTGTCGCTGCTGCATCACTGCACTGGTAAGAAGACAGCTGACTCATGCACACCTAACAGCAGACTGATGATTAAAATATGGAAGGGCATTCGAGTCTAAAATACTTCCTCACTCATCGTGGGCGATAAGTTGTATATCTTCTAAATGTTATCATGGGTGGGGGAAGGAGGGGTACCTTCAAGTCCACATGTGTTTATTCAGTGAATTGTCAAAAAAAATCTGAAATAAAGTTTGTTAAAGAAATATGGTACGGCATGAATAGCATACTTAAGCAATACATCATCGCTGCTGTTCAGCTGGACAGCAAGCACAGACGACATGCCTGAAACGTAGCTAACCAAACTGCATCTGCATCGCTACTTGTTTCCATAAAACAAATCATAAAGCAGTGACTGCTGCAGTCCATCTGCAGTCTCTGAGCTCAGATGTGTGCCGACGGACCTCGTGTGTGTTCCAAGGCCTGCAGGCTGCAGAGCTGAAAGGATTTCAGCACTCAGCGATATATATATACACACACACACACACAGTTGTGTGAAAAAGTGTTTGCCCCCTTCCTGATTTTGTTGCATGTTTGTCACACTTAAATGTTTCAGATCATCAAACAAATTTAAATGTTAGACAAAGATAACACAAGTAAACACAAAATGCAGTTTTTAAATGAAGGTTTTTATTATTAAGGGGGAAAAAAAATCCAAACCTACATGGCCCTGTGTGAAAAAGTGATTGCCCCCCTCCCCCTGTTAAAACATAAATTAACTGTGGTTTATCACATCTTTGGAAAGCTGAGTTCAATTTCTCTAGCCACACCCAGGCCTGATTACTGCCACACCTGTTCTCAATCAAGAAATCACTTAAATAGGACCTGCCTGACAAAGTGAGGTAGACCAAAAGATCCTCAAAAGCTAGACATCATGCTGCGATCCAAAGAAATTCAGGAACAAATGAGAAACAAAGTAATTGAGATCTATCAGTCTGGAAAAGGTTACAAAGCCATTTCTAAAGCTTTGGGACTCCAGCGAACCACAGTGAGAGCCATTATCCACAAATGGCGAAAACATGGAACAGTGGTGAACCTTCCCAGGAGTGGCCGGCCGACCAAAACTACCCCAAGAGCGCAGCGACGACTCATCCAAGAGGTCACAAAAGACCCCAGAACAACATCCAAAGAACTGCAGGCCTCACTTGCCTCAATTAAGATCAGTGTTCATGACTCCACCATAAGAAAGAGACTGGGCAAAAATGGCCTGCATGGCAGAGTTCCAAGACGAAAACCACTGCTGAGCAAAAAGAACATAAAGGCTCGTCTCAGTTTTGCCAGAAAACATCTTGATGATCCCCAAGACTTTTGGGAAAATACTCTGTGGACTGACGAGACAAAAGTTGAACTTTTTGGAAGGTGCATGTCCCATTACATCTGGCGTAAACGTAACACGGCATTTCAGAAAAGGAACATCATACCAACAGTAAAATATGGTGGTGGTAGTGTGATGGTCTGGGGCTGTTTTGCTGCTTCAGGACCTGGAAGACTTGCTGTGGTAAATGGAACCATGAATTCTGCTGTCTACCAAAAAATCCTGAAGGAGAATGTCTGCCATCTGTTCGTGACCTCAAGCTGAAGCGCACTTGGGTTCTGCAGCAGGACAATGATCCAAAACACACCAGCAAGTCCACCTCTGAATTCCTCTACAGCGCTGTAAAAGACTCATTGCCAGTTATCGCAAACGCTTGATTGCAGTTGTTGCTGCTAAGGGTGGCCCAACCAGTTATTAGGTTTAGGGGGCAATCACTTTTTCACACAGGGCCATGTAGGTTTGGATTTTTTTCCCCCCTTAATAATAAAAACCTTCATTTAAAAACTGCATTTTGTGTTTACTTGTGTTATCTTTGTCTAATATTTAAATTTGTTTGATCTGAAACATTTAAGTGTGACAAACATGCAAAAAAATAAGAAATCAGGAAGGGGGCAAACACTTTTTCACACAACTGTATATATAGATCTATATAGATATCTATATATAGATATCTCTAGATATCTCTCTAGATATCTCTCTATAGATAGATAGATGCATATATTACATATGTATAATATTATATTAGCTACTCCCACACACAGTGGCAACATTTACAAGGGATCGAAATCTGCATCTACACCGTGTGCCAGTCCGAAGTCGGAGTCTAGTTTAAGGTATGCGTGTCTGCATTCGCGTCATTCCAAACAAGGGCATGGCATTTTTGGGGCGTTGCCGTAGAAACAGCAGTGGCGTTACTCAATCGATGCTGGTATGAGCATGCCCATTCCCGTGGCAACCCTGTAAAAAGCAGGAAGTGTTCAGCAGACAGGAATGCTGAGTAGAGGCTGAACGGGAGACCGGGAGCTACTACGGCGCCGCTCGCTGACGGGCCTTTACAGACGGGAGGGTCCGGCTTCCTCAGGCTGGAAGACGTACGGACAGAACCCTGCTGTGGTCTTACTAACAGAGTGACACAACCATGTAGCCAACCACTGCAGCTTTGTCCTAAACGTATAAATGTAGCCAGGAATACAAAAATAAACACCTTTGAAAACAAACAATTATGGTATGAGAAATATTTGGGACCCCTTCAGGATCATACAACAAAAGGTGGAAGTGGGACCAGTTCTTAAATTTAAGTAGCTTTCCATCTAGTATCTACCCTATAAATTGTTTACTCTGTGTTCATATTTTTGTACATTTTTACTCACTTATCGCACACATCTAAACATGACAGTTTTTCACCACTCTTTTTTACAAAACTGCTTAACCTATTACGTAACATGGGGACTGACTGACTTAGTCATTTTAAGTCCTGCCAAAAACTCTGGATTTGACTAAGGCCTGGTCTTAAGAGTTGGCCCCTCCAGAATTAATGTAGTTGTTTTTAAGGAACTTTGGTGTAGCTTTGGCTCTCCCCTATCTCACACCAGTGGGTTTGCATTTGAGAATTTTGTCTGTTTTAACCTCCACCTTCAATTCCGTGTGTGCACGTCGCACACTTTAACCTGAAGTGTCATTTTAGGCATGAAGTCCATCGGGCTGCTAGCGCTCTCAAAGCTTCTGAGTGAAAGGATCCAGTGTGGACACTGATGGAGAACTGCAGCTGCTGCTGACAGACTACTTTCAGTCCCAACTAACTGCAGACAGAGGGGGAAATATGGCATTTCTTCACATTAAGTTGCTTATCTTAGAATGGTTAACACGATATTCTGTGACAGACTGAAGTAAAGTTATAGTTCCTACTATAAGCTACAACATTGCTTACATTATTGTTGAGCCATTACGATGGGCTGTTCGTCACTCTTCTGCTGACGTTTTGACTGCGGCCTACAAACGCGCCATCTTACAGCTCTTCTTTCTCTCCGTGTGAACTCATTTTGACAGTTTTCTAAAGCTTGCTCTATAATTAGCGCAGGCCCGCAGCGAAAGGCTGGAGTAATATTTAATGAACTACTGTGTGATTAAAACTTGTGATACAGCCAAATCACAGAGGCATTAAGACAGAAGAGAGACAGGCTGGAACAAATTAAAACATTTATTTAAGATATTTAATCTGATAACCGCCTGATTTTGATTTACATTACCAGCGACGCCACAAAGAGAAAATTGTGTTCCTGTGTTGTGCTCACCATAATAAAATCAATGGAGTGATACATTGTGATGCATTTGCTAGTGTTAATAAACACATCACTGTTTTTATTGGTAACAAATGACTGTTTCTTCTCTGTAATCCTTTAGTTTCTTGAGTTGCAATGATTTATAAGAACACCGACTACATTAATGTGCAAACAAAGCAACGTATTGAGAAATCTGGTTACGGCAACATAATCTGTCACTAGACTGCAGCTGTTTTTGTAGAAAAAGTCTCGCTGTGTTAACCAAGTTTCTTATTACTTCACCTCGATTACAGCAACCACGTTTCTTTTCTATGCAATGTTTACAACTGGGTTGTTCCAAAAAGTTGACCCATTTACTGAAGTGCTTGTACAACAGTGCTGATTTTTGCAGTCCTGGTCTGTGTCAGTTTATGGCCGTTATACGTTTAAACTGAAACATCTTATACTTTAGACCATCATTTAATTCCTTTAGAACTTTTTATTATTCAGGCTAAGTTTTTGAAACAAGCTAAATGAGCTTTTTGTCGGCCTTTCAACGATGCAGAAGCGTATTCAGGGGGTAATGAGTGCAACTTCACATCATGTGTGGAACAGGTGAATCTGAGCACACGTGCAAAAGACATGAAACCTTCAAACAGAAGAGGCCAGAGAAGAAATGTTGTGTAGACTATTCTTAAAAAGTGTGTAAAATGCTGATCCATTTAACAAGTTTGGCTTATTTGGTTAAATGAGAAAAATGCTTTTTGTAGAAAGGGAAGTAAAAAAAAAAAAGAAAGAAAGAAAAGGTATTATATTGGTATTTATAGTGAAACTACGGTAGTGAGATTTCAAGTGAAATATTTCAGTTGCAGGTTGAAATGCAAGTTAAGAGTTGTGCACAGGGATTGACGGTTAATAAAGCGGAACGGACATGAAACGCAGTTAACCGTTGTCATTACACTTTCAGTTTGGAGATTTAAATCAATTAACTCATATTAAGAACAAGAATTCCAGTCAAGTCAAAGCTACTGCATCTCCGGATGACGGACTATCCCGAACTGAAAAGACCCATCATCTAAGTTAGTGACACTGGTGTAATGACTTAAATTGTCAGAGTACAGAGCAAAGACGGTAATTAATGGTCAAAGAAAGCAGGTTTGACAAACCCAAAAAAAACTCACTTTTTCACATTGGCTTCTCCATTGGGAATCCTCCTCAGCTTCTTCTTCTTCAGTATTTTGACAGCCCTGCGACAAAGAGTCTCTGAGTCCAGCATCTCTTTCACTTTGCCATAAGACCCCTCACCTAGCAGGTCGCCCATCAAGTACTTCCCAATCAGCTTTGCCCTCTTCCTCCTCGGCTGGTAGATCACCTCTGTAGAGTCAATGCGATGAATGAACGTATCCATTTCCATCAGTTCATTTTCATTGAGATAGTCAAGATGTTGCAGCTCGCCGGCACTCATGACTGATATTTCGGCAGCTACAACTTAAGCCTCCTGTGCAAATTGTTCACGAATAACTATGGATTGCTGCCGGGGAGTAATCCACTGGTAACCTTTAAGCACGGAGCCGAGTGTTTTAATTCCACAAGATGGAATACAGATGACTTACAACATACTTAACATGGAGAGAAAATAATCACGCCTGAGAGTTGAGGGGGTGGTGGGAGATCAATCCCAAATTGTAAACATTAGGGCTCTTTTCTCTCAAGAGGTGCGAACAGAGGAGCAAAAAAAAAAAAACGTGCTGGGTCCAGTGCTAAGTTAGTGTACGATACTGTGTATTCTGTGACAAGTGCAGTAGAACAGAAATTAGAAAACTCGTGATTCTAAAATGTTACTATTCTCTGCTTAACTATGAATGTAACACCATACAGCCTAAGGTAGAGGCGACCAGTCCTGCTTCAAGGCCGTGCAGCACAGCATTTCTGTCAAAGGTCCATGCTTCAGAGCACAGGTTTCCTCAGGATACATAAGTGTGTACAGCTGGACCGGATCCAAGCTCAGATCTACAGACAAACTCATGCAGCAGTGTCAGCCCGGCTCCTGGAGGTCGACTGAGCCATCCAACGTGTCCAACCGTCCTCAGGTGTCCTCCATGCCACCGCGCTTTCTACTACCTGGTGCCTGAAAACAAGAGTGCATTTAGACATTAATGAACATGCACACATAGCTGAACTAAGTTAGCCCTCTTTGGTAAACAATCTGTCCAGACATCAACACTTGACCGGTCAACCTTATTGGGTTTCTAATCTGCTGTGAGGTTCACATGAGACACGAGAATGTTATTTATGTTGAGTACACTCTCAGCACCCTGCTGTAATCAGTCGGGTGTGAGGTACGATTGACACTGAAGTTGCTCACTTGAATTGTTTTTAAGTGAATGTGTTAACTATTAGCTAACGTTAGCTGGTAAGCTAACATAGCACGTCTGCTTGAATGACTAGCTCACCAACGTACACTCACAACGTTGTTCATCGAGGTACACACCCTTGGCGACCATTGCAGGTTTTAACCCTGAAGTCTGCTCTTAAACAACTGATTTAACGTGGATGCTGAGGACCAACGACGGACAACCGGGGGGGATACACCGAAACGTCGTCACACAGCTGTAGCTAACCCTGCTGGTTATGCAGTACCAGCTAGCGATAGCTAACTTTGCCAAGATTAGCGTTAGCCAACTTCACCTCGTTTGCCGATAGAGCAGCGACGACGTAGGGGACGGGGTGGTTCTCTGTGTGTACTGCATTAACGTTATGTTGACCCTATAGCAAAATCAGCATTAGCTCTAACAGCCAAGCCAGTCCCTTTACCGGAGAAACGATCCCGATGCATCCCGCTAACCGGAGTTGCGTTGTCTAGCGAGCCGTTCAGATTCAGAGGTAAATTGCTAGCATGCTAGCTAGTTAACGAGCTAACTAGTTAGCTACTGTGACAACGGGTCTCACCTTTATCCATATGAATCGTTGCAGGTTTTATTCAGTCCTGGTTAAAGCAAATGTTTCACTTGGGTCTATCAGTAAAATGTCAGACTCTTCGTGTTACTCTTGCTACTCAGGTTGTCGCCATCTTGTTTACCTCCCCCCCCCGACTCGCACTGACAGCCCTTACGTTAATGCGTCAAATCAAAGCGTTTCCTCCCACACACTGAGGAACGAGAACAATGTCACCCAGTGCTGACAATACATAGTTTAAATATTAAGCTATTCAGCCTTTTACATTTAATTAAGTAATCTGATCCTATTGATATTTTTTGGGGGGAAATTTACGATGGATATCCCGAGGAAAGAACATGCCAACGCTTGTGACAAGTTGTGTTCTTCCACAAGGTGTTTATTGTTTTTATTAACACCGATTATAATCAGCACTAAAATGAGGCACAAATGCATTTGTTTGAGCTTGTTTCTTACTTCCTTTCCCTTTATGAACCGCACTCCACTTTCAACATCCATTGGCTCCGAAGCTGTAGTTCTAAAGTCACTTTGTTGATTCACAGAAAAATAATTGGCAACAATTTTTATAATCAGTATTTTTCCAGCAAAAATGCCTAACGTTCCCTGGTTCTGGCTTCTCAAATCAAATGTGAGGATTTTCTGCTTTTTTCCCCCACTTATAAGATAGTAAATTGATTATATTTTAGACTAAACAAGCAGTTTGACTTTCTGATATTTTAGTAACCAAATATTAATGGACGATGAAAAATAATCGTTACGTTCAACTAAAAGCTTTACCACGCCACTAACCAATCAAAGCGTTGATTTACCTTCTAATATGGCTTAAGCTGCCTCCGATTGATGCTATGGCCAACACCAGAGTGGCTCTTGCTTAGCTGGGATTTCAGAGTTATATTTATCCCGTGTAACCCCCCTGGGGAATGTCAATCTGTAGGTCTGATTTCACTGATCTGTCACCTTCCTCCTCACCACTGGCTGCTTGAGCCTGGTCAGCGCTACTCAAATGGTTCAATGCTGTCCAGAGCCATAGAGAAATCAATACTGATGGCAGTTATCAACATGATTGGTTAGATACCTGCACTTAGCACTCAATAAACTTAAGGCGAGTTCCCTGTTCACTACTAGCTCCTACTTATTTTCTAATAAACAGATAAGTACAGCAGTTATACAGACATTTCAGTAAATGGACATTTATTGTGAACACTGAAGCATATGACAGGAATCAAATATCAGTTATAGCACAGTGAGATGCAAAAAAACTATACAGAGGATTGTGCACTAAGACAGAACTGTTATAGTGTACAGTATAGTTGAGAATGCAAAGTCAAGCTCTGAAAAGAACAAAATGGAAACACAAACTGAAGAGTGAAATCATTCTGGAAGTCAGGCGATGTGAGCCTATATGTTTCACGTTGTTAGTGTGTTACATTGAAATGGTATAAAACAGGTGATCAATTATTTAAAGAAACATTTTCTCACTCAAATTAAACCTCAAATGTAATAGATAGTCTAATCTTCCTACATGTCACACAAATTAAAAGGTTTCTGCAACACAGTCCATTCCACAACCGAGCAGAGATAGCAGATAGCTGCAGAAAACAGCTTTTAAGTTATGATAAACTAAAAACAAGTACAAACAAAAACAGTCCTCTACTTCAGTAATATGGTCTCCGTGGATTATTCTGTGGAAACAAAAAAGAAACGCTAGATGAATTCAAACATTATAGCAAAAATCTAAATGAATGGATCAGCAGCACAGTAATGGAAGAACAAAGTTCTAAGTCTCTAAAAATAAGTACATTATTAAAACGAGTATGGATTTCTACATGCTATTACACATACAATTTACGGAATATTGTTACAACAAATGGAAAACGATATGAAACAGAAGTTACCAGTGGGTTGGGCCTGAAGCGGTAAGCAAGCATCATCCTCTTTCTAAAAGCATCGTACTCATCATCACTCTTTGAGAGCTCCGCTGGACGGTCAACTCCAAACCCTGCTCCGTTCATAGCGGTAGTTCCCCTAGAGTGAGACAGAGAAGGCCACTCAACATGCGTGTCTCTTTTCATGTATATTTGGTAATTTCTGGATAAAGCAAAACCATTAAAATATTGTCCTTTTCCACAGAAGATATCGGAACATGTCACAGTAGAAAAAGCACAGGTGTAAATAATAAAATGAATGAATAATCCAATGTACAGGCCAGCCCACTCGCACGGCTCACTGGGACAAGTGATGAAAAACTGCTGTCGTTAATGGAATTAGTAACACCTGCGCATTTCCTGCCACGACAAGTCAAAAATGTTGGCTGTGGAAAAAGGTCTGTTCAGGTGTAAATGCCAACAATGGCGCGCACACACACACAGTTGCAAATCTAGCTAACAATAGTTAGTGGAAATATGAATTCAACTGTTGAATTGCAGATTTCCTGAATGATAAAGAAATGCAATGAAAGGCAAATGTAGTGAAGATGAATGCTCACTTGTTGACAGGAGCCTTGATGCCCTGTCCGTCACTGCCCAGGCCTTCACCCTCCTTCCAGCCCATCTTCATGAGCATTCGGAAACCAAGATTCTCCACCGTCAACTTAAACTCTTTGTATTCTGTGTAGTCTGGGTCCCGGCCCTCCTGCAAGTCAACAAGACGACAAGTGTTCATTCATGCCATAACACACTGAAGTGGTGCACCGAGAAGGGGGAAGAAGGAAGAAGGGGAGATTATTTCAAACAAATTTAGCATAGGGTGAGTCAAGATTCTTCTATTATTTAGTTGGTTTAACTGGAATATAATGACACTGTCATCTTGAGAAAAGGGCGTCTAGGTTGCTCTGTTGCCACAGTGCCTCTGACCTGGATAAGCAACTTGAAAACAGAGACATGGACGGATGATTACAATCCTGTTTACAGACATTTTCAACTGACCCTGGCCCTACTAAACAGTGTATGTATGGCCTTCTTGTGGAGAAGCAGACATTTAAAGGGCAAACAGCTTCCACAGACTACACATGAAACAAGTTCTACAGTACGCTGAAGAGATCCTGCAGGGAATAGGTACATGTCTTTATCTTCTCTGTACACATCACACCTCGTAAAATCACACTCGAAGCATTTAATGACCTGTGGGATGTCTGAAAAGCAATTATTGACATTAGCTGCCTCTTTCTGACTCAAAAAGGAGTCATCTTTATTTACCTCTAAAGCTGAAACTAATGGAAGAGAGAAACCATCGCTCCTTCCCTGTTAGGCTGGAGAACAAGTGAATTCAGAGGCAAACGAACCTTGAGTGCCTTGAAGGTCTCCATGAACTTATCCAGCTCCTCTGGGGGCAGGAAGTCACCAATAAAATGTTTCCCTTTACCCATATCTGTCAGAGATTCAGCCCACTCTGGAAAAGTACAGACAAGATGTTTATTTTATTTTTTTCAAGCAACAGCTGATCACTAAAACCTTACAAGAACTGATTATCAAGCACCGGCAGCTGCTAGTGTTGCAGAAGCAAGGCCAATACTCCACACTGATGGTGAACCTTACCGCGGGTCTTCTCCATTTCCAAATGTCGGAGACGATGCTCCCAGGTGCCCGCCTGCTGGTCCACCTCTTCATCGCTGTCATATTCATGTTGGTGGTCTCTAATGGCCTTCTCCCACATCACCTGCATCTCTGCCATCGCACGCTTGTGCTTCATGATCATGTCGTACATCTCTTGCATCTACAGAGCGTGTGAGCAAAACATTACACACACACACACAGTGATGCTGAAAGTAGATTACAGGACCTAATAATCCTTAGTTTAGGGTGCGTTCAACCTGAGTCATCAAAGTGCCTTTTGACTATTCTAAAAAACAGATCAAATAAAATATTTTTGGGGTGGGTGGACTTTTGGTATAGTTAAAAATTGCAGTTGTGCAATTGTCACTTAATAAATATGTTTAGTTGGCACTTTCATACCTCTTGTTGTTCTTTGATTTGTTTCTTCTGATCCTCAGATAGTTCCGTCACTCCTACCAGACCGAGAGGCTTCCCCTTCTTATAACCAAGAGTTCTCAGATCCTGGACTGAAAAAAAAACATTACCACAAACTTATATATTCATAAATGAATCATTGCATCGGCTGATAGTGAGCCCAAAATAGCTAATTAATATGCTGTTTCAAAAACGATACCTTGTTTTCTTAACAATAATTAAATTGTGTTCTATGACTTTTCCAAAATGCATATATTTGCATGTATGTGCTGGAAAAGAATAGACAACGGTATCAGCTCCAAAAACATATTGACACCACACCAAGTTTTATGTTCATTACTTTCATTCCCTAAAATAACTAAATGTGTGAACACACACATACGTATATTTACAGCACGTAAACAAGTTTAAGTACCGGAGAGAGAGGGTGTGTTGGGTTCTGGAACATTATACTCTGGAGGAGCGATGATGGGAGGAATGTGCAACTCCACTTTGTCATCCTCAGACCCCCATCTACTCTTTCTCTTCCGCTTGACAGGTGGAGTTTCGGCCTCTTGAATGTGGAGTTCGGGGTTCAGTGGTGGAGGGATTACTGATAATGGTGGCGCGGCTGGTCGCCGAAGGTCCGTCCAGGATTTCTCTGCTGGAGGTGAGGAGCCCTGGGAGGCTGCGGCCCGATACTCCCGAACTTTCTCTTTGTAGAAGCGGTGGGCTGGACTTTGATGGTCATATAAAAAACTGAGAAGCGGGGGGGCAGTAGATATTTTGTGTAAAACCAGGCTTTAATAGTGTAAATAAACAGAGTGACACATATACAGTGACTGACCTGAAGGCAGGGTTGTCTCGGTTTCGCTCAGCAGCAATGGCTTCCACCTCGGGGCCGCTCTCGACCACAAACCTGGCCAGCTTCTCAGCCATCTGCTGGGTTTCCGGGTCCACTGGGGGGGAGACTTTAAGCAGCCTATCAGTACTGGAACTCAATTCAAACTCTACTACTGTACCGTACTCAACTGGCCCTCACACACCACCAGTCTAGAGCTAATAGGGGATAAGAAGAGGAAGGAGGGGCAAGGGGAACAGGGGTGGTGAATGGGGAACTGTATGGATGCGAGGCTTTCACTGTCACAAAGTCAGACCACGTGAAGCCCAGAGAGGCTCCACCATATACACTGTGAAACTTCTATCTGCAGGTACAGTGCTGTGCACACGCCAGGACTAGAACATGTACCCCACCTTCAAATTCCTAATATGATTCAATTAGGCACAACATAGGGGTGAGCAATGTGGATGTTTATAGTGCGTATCACAATTTACTGGCTAAAGTGCAGACCAATCCAAAAACAAATATGGTTTAGTTCAAACACAGGAGAATGAGAGAAAAACTAAAGAAGCCATGACTTGTATATGCACAGACAAAAATAAGAAGCAGTTTGACGGTGAACTAAATTAGTACCTTGACGAAAAATGTTTTTATACCTATGTAGTTAGGTGAAAGTCTCCAGTTAACAGGGAAAGTTGAATTGGTCCTGCTGTTTTACGTCAGCAGGAAATAATATATTCTAGTTCATCTTTTACAGTTACTGTATTACAGTAACTGTGCATGAAACAATCTAATGTATCTGTGAGGGAAGGACTTGGGAGTGGATGCATACACATACGTTTAGGCTAGCACAACACATCATAATGTTTATAGACGTCCCTGTCAAGTCATATGGTGAAAACTGGTAATGAAACGGTCAATGCTGTATTGACATTGTTGTCCGGAGTGCGAGAAGAGGTAATCTTACCATTATCTGACGTATTCTCAGGTCTTAGCAAATCCTTTCTCAAAACGGCAACTCTGTTTTTGAAGTAGAGATACTCCATGGTGCTCCTATCGTATAAAAATCTGAAAGGCAAGGATAACATTTGAAATGAGATGAGTTTGTAAGAATACCGTAAAAGTAAATACATCTGGATGAGCTACATTGTCCTTCAAAACGTACGAGAAAACAGGATTGTCCTTGTAGTCGTCCTTGGCTTTTCTCTCCAGCTCAGCTCCTCCCTCCGCCACAAAGGAGGCCATCTTGTCGACAATGAGTCGGATGTCTGAATCCTCTGGGGGAGAGACTTTAAGCAGGCTATGAGTACATTTACTCTAAGGGCACCTATGTCAAAATGCCAATCACAAGGCACCGGAGTATGCAGACGATGCACTGAAAAGTCCGAGCCGTGGAGTTGTCCAGAGATACACTGGAAAACACCGGCCCTGAATTACCTTTCATCTCTAAGAATCTGGAGTAATCATCCTCTTCTTCCTCATCTTCATCGTCCGGAGAACAGAACACGCTCGGCCTCTGGCTGAGAACAGGATTCTTCTTGGAGTGCGAGTAGTTCTTGAACTGACTGAGCATGCTACTGACTCCGAGGCCGGGCCGCTTGCCAACGAGAATGCTCTTTTTCTGCAGCGCGTTTCCTCCTGGTGGTGAAGTCGAAGCTGTGGGACATTTGGCATCAGTGGTGGAAGCTAGAAAGAGTATGAAACAGGACACATCATTTGTAAAAATAGCATAAGCCTTAAGGGGTATTATTCTTTCTGATTCAACCAGAACGTTTGGCGGGTAACCAATGTAACTAGTTTCCTTAGGTCAGGATGCCCTCTTTAAAAACCTCCCACAAACCGTGCAGCTGCCAAGGACTAAGATTAGGCAAAGCTACAAGGTTACAGCGATTACTCAGTGTTCCAGGGTTGCTCTTGCTGTGTTAAATTCCACTGTACAACATCACAGCAATACTCTACTTGTGATAAGGAGAAGACAAAAACACAACTGTAACCTTTTGGTCACTGTGCAGAACAAAGTACTACTAACCAGAGCCATTGTTGGGTTTGTCCTTCTGCATCCTCATGAACTGCTGTAAGAAGCTTCCATCGTTTAGAAACTTGTTTGAGGAACCTCCGTGAAAACTGGGAGAACTGTTGGGATCAGAATGAATGAAATGGGGTTAAATACTCTTTGTTATAATTAAAGGCCGATGTTGGGGTCAACGATACTGACCAACAGGACCATTCTCAAATATTCAACTGTACTTAAAAACTAAAACAATGTAAATGTGTTGAATATGTCCGTCAGTATATTGATACCTTGGAGGCAGGGGTTTGCTCGGGGTTTGCACGTTCACTTTTGCTTGCTCTGCCATTCTGGCCTCAATCTCCCTCTTCTTCTGAGCTATCAGCTTCTCTTGCCGGAGAATATTCATGTTCATCTTGTTTTTCTGCGGCTGGATGGGCTTGGACTTCCATCCTCCACGCCCTAAAACAAGATTAAAGGGTAAATGCAATATAACAACACAATAAGCATGTTATGCGGAGGAGAAGCTGGCAGTTGAGGAAGCAAAAAGTAAAATGACATTTTCTCAATTAGGTTTCAAGGTTAATTTATTGTCAATCTACAACAGAGTTGCACACGAAATGCAAGCTGTAGTCCATTTATGATACACAAGAAAAAACAAGAACCATTTTCCAATGGTGGAGTACATTTTCTATTACATTGTTGGATTTTACTGGGGTTCAACTTCTTTAAGGCAGATACACTTTGACACACACACACACACACACACACACACACACACACACACACACACACACACACACACACAATTCTAACTTTGTATTGCAGAGTAGCATTTAAGAAAGCTTAACTTTTAAAAGCTAATAAGAACTGTGGGGTAAAGCGAAATTTGTGTCATTCATTTAGGATATTAACGTTACAGTTTGCAGAACTAATGAAACTCGAGTAACGTTATTTGTTAAGTTACGTAAATATAATACAAAATGTCTAATATATGAATTAACCTTGTTATCTTAGCCGACAGCTAGCTAACGTCTTGCTATTGATCGAGCAAAGGGCTCCTCCGGCTGCAAGAGCTCGATAGATCAAATGAAGAGCTAACGGCTAACCTGGCTAACTTAAGGGTTCAGAATAACTCAGACAGCTGCTAGTTACATGTTCAGCGCTAGCATCACAATCAAAGTCACAGTAAGGATTTACCTGCATCGCTATGCTCCATGGTCGCAGCGGGAGGAAATATCTATTTAGAAAAAGACGCTCACGGACTACAATAAGGCCAATCGCTGCTACCGAAATAGCTGATTTATAAGTTAAGTCCACTAGCAAACACCACAACAAGACTTCCGGTTGTTGTTTTTCCAGAATAAAAGCATTATCTCTACTACTGTCGCAAAGTCGTAAGTGCATGCTCTACATCAGAATACCCAATCAGAGGCCAGGACGCACATGCTGCAGGTCATAGGCAGAACAATCAATCAGTAAGTCAAGGGCCTCTAGCGATGTCTGGGGCTCGTAGCTCCACTATATCTGCTGGGAGGGCTTTGTTACTTCAACTAGCCTGGCAATGTGTGTGCATGTGTGTGTGTGTGTGTGTGTGTGGGTGCTAACTCCCTGGCCTTGTCCTTGAGTAGGCACAAACTCCCCAAAAGAGAGAACGGGTCTCTCTGTTAATCTACAACCCCAGGGAGGGGACGCAACTCCCATTATCCTGAGGAGGACCTGATGCACTAAATTATCAGATGCCTGAGAGTCATGATGACTGAGGTGCTTTCCTTCGGCTGTTAGGATCACTTGGTGAACTGAATAGGGGAATAAATAATTATGTGACAGAGCATCATCAGACTGCAGTGTTTTCTATGATGACAGCTCAAAAGGAACATTTTGAGAAAACATGTGTATGGTAGTTTTCCTCTCAATACTGCCCCCAAACTAGCCTACAGCGGTATGTTATTCAAACTAGTATATAGCCCTGCAATAAACTTTGTGACGGCTATGATAATCAGTCTTTGTTGACATGTGCAGTGGTGTCGTATTAAATTCAAGAATTTAGAGAGCTTTTTCAAATGTTCTGTCCCCATCATGTAAGCCTTACAGGGCAAAACATACTCATAACATCTTCAGTTTCAAAACTCGAAAATATAATTTATTGCATGTGTATTATATTGCTTTGCATCAAATTTTAAAACTCAGAGTCAATTTATTATACACTCTTAATTGCTGTACTTTCTCAACATACTAATATTTGGAGCACAGTCTGCAGAAACCCGACTGTGTGCACTGTATTCTCAATATCTTAGCATGAATATCTGAAAATGAGGGCTGGGGTCCATATTTTAGGATGTTATTAACGACAGGTATTATGGAAAGTACCGACATCATATGGAAGAGCAATGATAGAAAGACTGTACAGCGTCCAATTTATTATTTTAATTAATTTAATCAATTCTATATTACTTCTTCTGCTCAGCATAAAATATGTAGCCTCATAGTTATACAATTATGATTAAAAAAAGGTATTTTTATGTAACTAAACCATTTTATATGCCACATAATAAGTGATGATTGAATAGAATTTCCCAAGAAATGTTTTGTATATTTGTATGTTTATTACATGTGTGTAGCATGGAGGGGCTCCAATCACCTTTAACTTTTTTGTTTTAATTTGAAAGAAAATATTAAACCGGAAGTCGTCTTCTTGATAATTTTGTTTCCTGCCGCCGCTTGTCTCTCCTGTTGCAAAAAGTCAGGTTTTGTTGTCCCTCGTTGCTTCCCGTCCGTGTCGTACGAACTGGTCTGCTTAGAAATGGCTGAAGCTCCACCACGGCCCTGCCGGTTTTTTTGTCACCAGTGTTCAGCAGAGATTAGTCCGCGTTTACCGGTAAGGACCCAAGAGACACATTTGCCTCCTTGAAGAATGAGAATGAGAATGAAGAATGAGTTTGGGCTTTGTGTGGTTTTAAGTTTATTTTGTGGCTCACACCTAGTCACGTCGGCCCATTGCTGCTGTGTAGCTAACGTTACGCTAGTTAGCTAGTTAGCCACATCGGCAACAACGGTCCAGAGTGACGGTCAAGTGGTAGTAATGTAGTTGGTGGGTAACACTCACGTTATGCTCTTGTGTTGTAGACATACCATTTCAGCTTTATGGCGGCATAATAAACAGCAGCTAGCTTAGGTCAAGGTTTCATAGTGAGGCGTTTAACGTCAGCAAGCTGGCTAACAGGAGAAATCTTAGGCTCACTTTCTAAAGCAGACTGTCTGTCCAGGGGCTTAAGGCACGTTTTCATTTAAAGATTTCCAATCAGCTAATATAAAAACGCTTAATGTAAATGTCTTTTCCACAAGACTTGCCATTCGTTTATTGTGGTAATACCGCAAAGAGCGGGAACACTTTCACAACATCTATCCGAAACGAGTGTCAATCAGTGTTGTGTTATCGGTGCACTTGCCTGCCACAGCAGTGTGTCGGTGGCCATTCATGGGAAGCTTCTTGAATGTTACAGTAACGGTTATTTATTGACAGCTGCTTACCTGTGTGACACGTGCTACAGCTTAACGTGACTCTGGAGAATATGTTGACTCATTGGAAGTGCTCACAATGTGTTACAGCATGTAAAGTTAACGTTTTCTAAACTGCTGGATGATGCAGATTGCATGTATGGTTAACGTCAACATTGGGAACATAGTCTGCACTTCACAAAGACCATGTTTGACATTTCTAGACATCATATATTGGGTTGACCTGCACCTTGCTAAAACCCATGCAGTTTAATACAAGCCTTGTAATAAATCCAACTTGTATGAAGGTTATAGTATTCAGTTTTAAGTGTCTATGATCATTTTTGGAGAAACAGTTTTCTGATGCTGTTAAATTGTATTGTGTTAAAATGAGAGGCATTTCTACTACTTTGTCCACCCAATTTATATCGGTGACGTTCGACCAAATATAAACATTTCTCAGAATAACACCATGAAACAATTCAAAAGCAGCGTGCAGCCTCCAAAATGACTGTAAAGTTGAATCACCCCCTTTACTAACTACTCTTACTCTAAACTGTTAAATTAGAGAGCAATCATTTTAGCTATGTGTACATAATAAACAGACACCTGTGTATATGTTGTGGTGTGTACTAGATATTCACCTTTATATCTTCACTGTAGGACTACACCTGTCCACGCTGTGATTCTGGTTTTATTGAGGAACTGGCTGAGGAACGAAGGTATGGAGGATTGTTTTTTTGATTGATTTAATATGATTTTTAAGTCTTAACTTTTCACTTTCTTAACCACTGTATTTGTGCAGTACTGAAAATGGTTCTGTGTCATCGTCCTCCACCAGTGATCATAACCGGCAAGCCTTTGAGGTCAGTGTGGTGCGTTGAATCAGTTGGTTTCAGGAAACATTTTGCACCCGGCACCGTGATTTGACGTTGCCTCTGTCTTTTCTACTAGAACGTGGATCACCAGCACTTGTTCACGTTCCCCTCCGGGTACGGTCCGTTTGCCCTCGGGATTTTTGACGAGAACTTCGACCTCCGAATGCGGCTACCCACAGAAGACAACCGCGACGCAGAGAACAGGAGAGAAAGGGAAATGGCATCGCGACAACGATACAGTGCGCGGCAACCCCGCGGCCGGCATGTTCCTCGACGGCAGGGTACGCGTCCCGAAGGAGTGCCCACACTAGAAGGGTGAGACTTTTTCACCAGCAGAGTGTGTTGAAGGTTGCTTCACATGTTATTATGGTTAAAAAAAACACGTGAACAATATTATGTTTAGATACATTTTAATATGATGTTTGCGTAACTAAAGGGACCTGTTATACATATATATATACACATATTACCTCATTCAAAAAGTATAAAACACAAAATATCTAGTATTACCATTATAATAACAAAGAGACACTATTCCTGTAAATACCAAACGGCAGATATTTAGTATTGCCATTTGTATTAATACATATTTACGACCGTAAAACGATTAATATTTACAGAAAATGTCCATTTGTGCAATTAGTTTGATTCATTGAAGGTGTTTTTTTGTGTTGTTTTTCTTCCGGATGCAGAATTATCCAGCAGTTAGTAAATGGAATCATTGCACCTACAGCCATGCCGAATATGGGGATGGGATCGTGGTGAGTACAAGAAACTGTGATGCATGTTTGTGTACTTGTTTCATATCACCAAGTAACGTTATATATTTTTTGTTGTTGACTACCTTCTTGTCGTGCAGGGGAATGCTCCATTCCAATCCAATGGACTACGCCTGGGGGGCCAATGGTCTTGATGCTATCATTACACAGGTATAGAAAGTGTTACTTTTATATGACAGTGGTGCATATCAATCAGGCGGCTACATTATCCCAAGAGCTTTTTTAAATAGCACCACAGGAATTGTGCTATTTATAATATCATAATACATAATTCATAATTCATAGTATATTTCTATTGTATAAGCAATGTAATGATACCAGTATACAACGTCCTAAATGTGTTTTCTACATTTTAAATAAGTGTCATTTTTGTAGAATTTAGCATATATGGATGGTACCCTGTAAAGAATTCATCCTTTAAATCAGACACGTAGTTAAGCTAGATATTCGAAGTGATATTGGGGTTCTGTTCTTTTTCCACTTGTAGTTATTGAACCAGTTTGAAAACACGGGTCCGCCTCCTGCAGACAGAGAAAGGATTAAGAGTTTACCCACCGTCACCATCACAGAACAACATGTGGGTAAGTCCATGTCTCTCTCTTGGATCACATCTGGCGTTAACATGCGTGTTGGCTGATCCGATCACAAGAGGATCGCTCAGAGTACGTCCATTCTCGTCAGTCTGTTGTGACCACTTGGGATCGGATCTCACTTCCCCACTCTGTAAGAAAATGAACACTTACACCATTTCCGATTGCAAAGATCAAATGCTTTATTGTTTTTAACAGGCGGGAGGCAGAAGTGCTAAGCCTAGAGCGAAATAAACAAAGAAGAAATCAAAACAATACAGACTGGTCGTGTTCCAAGCAAACCAAATCACCCAAGAAATTTGACTTGCTTGTAATATATCTCTATCCATCCTGTATCCTCTATCCATTCAGCTTGTTTCTTGAAATGGCGCCTTTGGTGCGCAAATGGCTGCGTACTTCCGCTACCGCAGAGGACGTCTGGTGAGGAGGTCCTTCACTGAGGCCCCAGGACACACTCGCGTCCACACTGCTAAAATAATGTGGCCACATCCAAACGTGGTCTGAGCGATCGGATCTTAAGCCCTGTTCAGACCTGGCATTAACATGCGCCTTGTGTGATCAGATCACAAGAAGACACACCTGGCATTAGAATGTGCCTCTACATGCGTCTCGAGACTCTGTATGCAAATAAACACGTAACCTACATCATTTCCACTTGTTGTTTTTAACCGCTGGGAGAGCGCAGTAGGCCAGTAATATACTACAGATTTGTGAATTCCGGTACATTTTATGAACCTACAAATACCTGCAAGGCTGTTTACCGGCAGGTCCCAGGGGTCCTGCATATAAAACACTCACACATCACCAAAAAGCTATTTAGCAATATAACTACATAAGCTTTTTTGTTAAGTTGCCAGTTGAGTAGACGGTCCTTCAGTGTGACTCAGGATTCATTGGCCTAAATGCTGCTAAAAGAATGGCGCTATATGCGTCACAGACCACCTCCGAATGTGGTCTGAGGGATCATATCTTGGTGCGTCCTCGAGGCGTCTTGGGTGCATTCACACCTGCAGTTTAAAGCTGTGCGTCTTGGATGATCCGATGTGAACAGGGCCTGTCCTGACAGTTACTCACTCATAAAATGTTGTGCTATCATCTCAGACGTATGCAGGAAGATTCCTGCGTATTCTTGTTGGGGGAAGTGAAGCAACACTGCCTCAACTCAAATAAACAGAACTGGTGTGATGACTATTTTCATTGCAGCTGACGCATGTGACCGAGGTTCTCTAACACACGGACCGACAGACAAACAGTGTGTTGTTTTCTGTTTGTACAGGTGCTGGTTTAGAGTGTCCTGTGTGCAAAGAAGACTACAGCGTTGAGGAGAATGTTAGACAACTGCCATGCAATCACTTGTTTCACAATGACTGTATAATACCGTGGCTGGAACAGGTATGTAAATCTAATATCTACCGTATTACGGATGTCCCAAACACATTCACATATTGTGCTTTTGTAAAAACGTGTGAAAAACGCACTGCAGTGTGAACTGCAAAACCACATAAAACTGATGCTTTGCCTCCGTTTTTGAGACACGCCTCTGGTGCTCCTCTTAAGTACTGTTACACTGTACAATTGAAAAGCTTAGGACACAATTGTTTGCATCCAACCAGTCATGTGCATTTGATGTATAGAAAATGGGAATTTGTCCTTGTTTCCTACAGCACGATACATGTCCTGTGTGCAGGAAGAGTCTAAGCGGACAGAACACAGCCACAGACCCGCCAGGGTTATCAGGAATAAGCTTCTCTCCCTCGTCCTCCTCCTCTTCCTCCCCCAGCTCACCTAGCAATGAGAATGCTGCCAGAAACTCCTAGATGTTCACCGCCACCGTCGCCACACATCTGGAAAAACAAAACCTCACGACAAACGAGAACCAACGCCTCTCAGCCGAGACCGGGACAGTGGTCCGTCTCAATGCTAGGGGACGATATGAGTCGAGTTGAACTGTGAAATCTATTGCAGATTTGAAGTCATCATTCCTCCCTCTGTGCTGAGCGGACAGCGGGTCCAGCTCAGAGTACTTGAGGAGGGCGAACTGGGCCGTGTTGAAAGAGGATCCAGAAAGGCTGCGAGGACTAATAGAGAGATTGTGACCAGAGCTGACGTGAGCTCAGTTTGAGCCAGAGTGGACTGCTTTTTGATGGAGACGTGTGTTTGCCACAAGGCTGGGGCACATTTTATATTTAAATAACAGAATGCTCTTTTCTTTTTTAAAACATAGCCTGTGGTGGTGCAGAGTCCGTAGATGTGTAGATAGAGAATTAATTTTGAATGGTCAGCCACTGTACAGCTGGTGGATCAAACTAAAGCCCGAGTGTGTTCATCTGACTCCTATTTATTTGCACCTTTTATTTTTTATTTTGCACAACATTCTGTCTGATGTTAAGAATGTGAATTTGGGTAAACTACTGAACAACAAAAAGACTTCACATCTTTTGCATTGAATAAGTCCTTTAGGACTTGTTTATCTGTTTTTATTAGATTTTATTAGATCCTCACAGCTCAACAGTGGACACATTTTTATTCCTAAAGTGAAAATATTCACCAACCTACTTACAAAACTCAAATGAACCCTAACCTAAAAACGGCATGGAAATCTCTGACCTCTGTGAAACTGGCCAAATGGGTTTCACAAAACAAGTGTTTTATTTACAGATTTTTCGTACAGTCGCAATAAAGTACTAAAACAAACAAATATGAAGTTCCTGCTGATGATGAACGTTTTCACAATCGTATCCTACCTGTGCTGTTGTAGGAGGTTTAATTTAACACATTTTATAATGCTTCAATGTCAATCAAACTCCAATTGTTGATCAGGATAAAAGACCCCGCTTGGAATTTTTTTTGATGTTTTAATGCTTTAAAACAAAGAGTTAATGTGGCTCTTTTAAAATTGATCAACAGAGAAATACCCTTTTTAAAATGGTGAAAGCAGATGGTTACAAAGATATCTAAATTACAAATATAGAATATGAAATACTTGTTTATATTCAGCTCCTTTAAGGACGCACCTCAATCACCGCTGGTGCAGCCAATAGATCCTGTTAATTGCAGACATTTTGACAAGTCATGTCTGGAAAATGTATTTGTGGACGTATTTCTTTCTTTAAATCCTCCTGTGGACAGTGTTGTAAATTAACTTTTTGCTCCAAACTCTAAACATAATGCATTTGGTCTTTTGGCATAAATGTATGTTACAATTCTAAAATACTGTGATGTCCATATCAAATAAACTAGACTCAACATGGCAAGTACATTACCAAATCACAAAAAACATGAAACCTTAATTTTGAATTAGTTAAAGTTAATGTTGATAAACTAACTCGGACCAGGAATTTCTTTTTAGCAATAATTAACAAACAGGTGGCTGATGAGTCACCAGACCAGAGATTTACATATTCAAATAAATACCAATAACAAATTGAATTCATCTTCCAGACGTTACCAAAGCAAATATGAAATACTGTTTGTTTTTTAGTGGTTTATATACGAGACCTTGGCAGCGCAAAGGCTGACTTAAAACAAAAGATTCTCAATCATCCTCTCATTTAGTTTTACTGGTTCAGAACATTTGTCTTTTTTTTCCTCACCTATAAGGTAAATGGGTTTCGAGATAAAACCCTTTTCGCTCCTGAGCAGTACTCTAACGTGTGTCTGTGTCATTCATACCAACACTTCTTTTCATTTTCTTGACATTTCTGTGAATCACAGCATCCTCTTGGTCTCTGTCTTTTAAAAAACTGTTAAGAGAGCGTCACACCGCTGCGTCACCTCGCTGAAAAGCGAACCTTGGTGCAGCGTTTTGTCTGAAGTGGAGGGAGGACGGCAGAGAGAAGGAGAGGGGAGGGGGAGAGAGTGATGACGCTTATGGCTTACCAGCACTGATGTCAAAAGGTAAAAGTCGTGCAGGAAGAAAATCCTTCACCAGTTTGAATTCCTATTTTAAAAGTAAGTACAGTGATGATGTATAATACGCTAACTATTGTATCTCTTCTCCAGTGATGAAGCACTCCACTATCATGGTGTATATCCCACATGTGTTTGGATAATGCTCTGCAGTATTGCAGCTTATAGGCACAAACATGCTTCAAGACCATTTTATATACTAGTGTGATTCCCTCCAACAGAGATGCTAATAGAAATGTAATTACTACTGCACTGCACATGTGCAACCATCTGCTTTTATTCTCACACCCTGCAGTTCAAACCAGAGCAACAAATAGTCCGGCAGTTTTGCTGAACCTGCATCTGTCAGTGTGCGCACCACATGAATACCTCTGCTGTACTTGCTGACCTTTGCTACAGGTAGTACCTGCACGGATTATGCAGTAGCTGACAGAGCTGACGTGAATAGCAAACCGATTACTCCTCAGTGCTCCTTTGGCACAGTATTCCAAAACAGTACAAACTGTTGTTGCCTGGATTGTGTACTTTCAATGCACACAAAAACAAACCCTTTTATACTCATGCCATCTGTGCCTCTAAACTAACAAGACCAGACTCCAAGGGGCTGAAATCAAAAACAAAATGTACCTTGTGAGAAGTGGAAGGTACAATATGTTCCCTCAGGGGCATGGACCCAGCCAACGAGCACCCAAAGGATCGGGCACCTTTGAGGCGACATATATCGCACAATAACTACCTTTTTGTAAATAAATTGACCTTAACTGTTTACCTGTTCCTGTGTCTGACCACTACGTTTGACATTTGTGTTCTGTTAGAATCACATAACAATAAAGATTTGTCTTTCAACCTCTGCGACACCCTCGAGTGGCCGCTAGGGCGCACTAAACACCAACAATGGGCGGATCAGGGAGGTTGTCATTGAAAGCACCTTCTAAAAACAAATGACATCATTTGAGTTTTCATTAACACGTGGTAATTAAACTTTTGTAGTCGTTATACCGTGACTGACAACATATTAAGCATCTATTGCTGTGTGAGTGTCAGTAAAGAGCGTCTTGAGGTAAATCGAGCTTCATCGTCGTGACTGAGAGGCCTCGACTGGAAGCACCTTGAGTTGAATTAGCAGCCGCTATGCGCTAATTTCATTTAACGACATTTAACACGCAGTCAGGGGGCTCAGTTAGTTTGTGGCTTGAGCATCTTTGATACAATGACTAGTGAAAGTAAAAGCGCAGTAGTTTACAAAGAAGTCACGTCCACCCCTCCCTCTGTCCCTCTGTCCTCTCTCTCTCTCACGCTCTCTCTCTTCTTCTCCTTATTCTCTCCATCTCCCCTCTACCTCTGATTGGTTTTCTCCAAAGATAATTGGAGGCAAAATTTGATATGCTCAATGTCATGGACAGGAATGAGGTTTCGCCGGCGTCTGCTGCCACCATGAACAAGAAGGCGGTGGGCGGCAGCGGACACAGCCACATCAGCGCACCAAAGGCTGCCGCGTCCAAATGCACGAGAAGCAATAGCAGCCAGAACTGTCTGGACGCAGGTTCTCCCGGAGCCCCGAGTGGTAAGCAGTCCGGTGCGGCCAGCGACGTCGTGATGGACGAGACGGAGGACGGAGAAGAGGAGTCGAGGTTCCAGCATCCGCGGTTGCGCCGAGCTGGGGGGAGCGGCAGCGGCGGAGGTGGAGGAGGAGGAGGAGGAGGCGGCGGCAGTATCAGGATGAAGAACTTTACGCCAGGAGGGGGAGCCGCGTCCTCAGGTTCCAGGAGAAACTCAAACAAGGAGCCCTGCCATACGCACCCAGAGGACGCTGCTGCCGCTCCACGGCCCACTGCTGCCTCCAGAGCTACCGAGACCCAGACACCCTTTCCGGGCGATGCTGCCCAGCACGGCGAGACCAGCAGAGCATCTGGGGCGGAGGCGTCGGGTTCAGTGTTCGCGTTAGAGGTTTTAAATGCGACAGTGGGTGATGGTTGCAAAGGCGTCGCTCCAATTTCCAGTATGAAATGCAACAAAAACGGAGAATGCAGGAGGGACTCGGGTACCGGGAGCCTGCGCTCAATCATCTCCAAGCAGGAGAAGCAGACAGGGGGGTCAGGGAGGGCCGAGGACGGAGGGAGCGCCAAGCGAGGAGCCTGTAACTCGACCACCGCCAGCATGGACGGCTCGATCACGCCAGGCGGGTCCCTGACCGGGGGGCACGGAGGAGAGAGCGCAAACCCCGGCAATACCCCCGTGTCCAGCGGTGCCCCCGATAAAAGGGACTCCAAGGTGTCCTTCTCTAACGCACCGAGCCGGAAAGCGTCGTCCTCGCTGCACGGACCGACTCAGACCCAAACCCAGCAGCCTCGGAACTCTGTCACTTTCCTGAAGCCGGAGGATGGACCGCCAATTGTGCCCGCCGAGGACGCGGATCTTCAGGACAGCCAATTCAGCTTCATGCAGCGGCAGTTTAGTAGTATGCTGCAGCCTGGAGTTAACAAATTCTCCTTGCGCATGTATGGTAGTCAAAAAGCAGTGGAGAGAGAGCAAGAGAGGGTGAAATCTGCTGGAAATTGGATTATCCACCCTTACAGCGATTTCAGGTAAGAGCTGGGGGCTGCCATTGGCCGCGTGTTGAAAGTCATGAGGGGCCCGTGCGGCTCCTCATTGTCATCTTCAACTAACTTCATAGTGAGTAACCGCTGTGACTCCATGGGAACACACACATGGTTATTGTTCAAGGCTATACAGGCTGCTGAATTTTCACTTCACCCCTTACGATTGAATCTGTAGCCCAGAGATTTGAATCGATGCACTGCAACGTGCTGCCATTTACCCCCCAAACAACCTGTTGTCAGGCAAATTGAGCAAAGAGTGTCCTCTCAAGGTTGTAAAGAAATCCCATTCCAGTCTACAGATACAGTAGCATGTCTGGGATGCTCAACAAGCCCGGCCTGCTAACACTTTTCCATGCAGCACGCTCACATTCAACAAATAGGACGTCGCTGATTCGGGCTAATTTACAACGCCATTATTTTTGTTCTTCACAGAACTGGTTAATATTCGTTGGAGTATAAGGTATGCTCTGTGACGTGAGCCGTGCGGACAGGATGTAGGCTATGCGCGCGTGTATGTGTGTGTGCGCGTATAGGCGATGCACTCAGTAATGGAATGTCACCTTGAGCCAAGTGTGCGAAAAAACCTCAAGCATGCTCACTGGAGACATATCCGCCTGTACGGCTCCCCGGATCCTTCATTTAAATGACGGACGCTCTCTGTTTAACACCGATAACCCAACTGGATCATCCAGCAGCTAATTTGTCATCCAAATATATAGAGAAATTAGCATCTCATTCTTTCGACATGTATCAGTCGCTCAATTGCGTTGAAACCAGTGGGTTCTCCTATGGGCTGGTTTCAGCACCACAAGGAGTGGACAGCTCTCGTGTCTATTTTGGAGTTGGCTCGCGCTATGAGCGCTACCTTCACCCCCCCCCACACCCCCACAGCGCCATTCATGTTTGGCCCATTTGTAATTTCTATCACATAACGCCGAGTCAGAAGACCAACAGAGCCTATAAACTTGAGACATGTCTTCCTCCAGCAGGGATGCATTTGTACGAGTTTTGGGCACCTTTCTCTGCAATGCAAGCTCATACACGATGTGAATCTTTATAGCTGCCCTCTCCGTGATTCTTGTGCTAATCGATGCATAGTTAAAGTAGCAAAGTTCCTTCAAACATTGTCATCGGGGCGGTTATACCGTGAAGTGAAGGAGTCGGAGCTTGTTGCATAAGTCGCAGTGTAATGACTCAGCGCTGCACCTGTCCTGCAGAGCTTTCTCTGACGGGCTCAAACCTCACTACTTTTACTCTCTCCGTTCCATTCACCGAGCTGCCACATCAGTGTTAGTAACAATTAGCAAGACAGACGCTCCCTTGGTATCCGTGTGCATGGCAAGGTCGATACATTTAACCTAATGTGCTGTCTGAGGTGCTGGAGACCCTCGGCCCTATTTAACAGCTCAAGAAACATACTTAACATATTTTTTTTATCAGCTTGAGAAAATTGTCTGTTTGGGGTCTCAGTTAAGCCCCCTGACTGGAAAACACGGTTAAACACAATGGATATGCTCAAAATTTATGATTTGTGTTGATAATACTTCTACAATAGTTTGTTCATAAGAGATCGAATTTGCCCCAAACGTGTGAAGGTTATGTACTATAACAAACATATGCCAGTACAGATAACATGAAATAGTCCAGTTTTTTTGTAAGGAAAGAATTATCACTTCAAAACCTTAAGCTGGGAAACATTAAGCAATTATAGTTCCTTGCAGTTATTGTTACACACACTACTGGGTGTAAGTCAAGCCAATGTCAATAAAACAGAAGGGTTAAGAAAGGAGGTTGAAAGTTGCTTTCATGATTTAAAACTCTGAAAATGAAACCTGAAGTGCACATTCTCTTCAGCCACAGACTAGAAAACCATGAGCAAAGACAATCACAAGATTATTTATTTTGCATTTTAAGAATATTGTATGCATAGAGAAATTTGTTATGACGGATGTTAATCATCAAAGTAAGCTTAGCATGTCATTACATTCATGTTCAGACACAGTGTAGCTCCTGCTTTACACTTTCCCGTCTTGAGTTAGGAAATCTCTTTATCGGCTTTCCACAGCAACTCCCTTTTTCTTGTCTGACTCTATTTTTGTCTTTTTTCCCTTCCCCCCCATTTTCCCCTCCTGTATTCTACACACACACACACACACACACACACACACACACACACACACACACACACACACACACACACACACACACACACACACACACTGTCATGTACACAACACAACTACACACATGCCTGTTAGGTTCTACTGGGATTTCACAATGCTGCTGTTTATGGTGGGCAACCTGATCATCATCCCCGTGGGCATCACCTTCTTCAAGGAGGAGACCACTACGCCCTGGATCATCTTCAACGTGGTCTCTGACACCTTCTTCCTCATGGACCTGGTGCTCAACTTTCGCACTGGAATCATCATTGAGGACAACTCGGACATCATTTTGGACCCTGAAACCATTAAGAGGAAGTACTTAAAAACTTGGTTCATTGTGGACTTTGTCTCCTCCATCCCAGTGGATTACATATTCCTCATAGTGGAGAAAGGGATTGACTCGGAGGTGTACAAGACTGCCCGGGCCCTGAGGATCGTCCGCTTTACCAAG